ATTATAAATACGTGCTGCAGTTGGGTGAAAACCTTTGGTATGTTAAAAGGTCGTTTTATAGAGGTCGTGGTCGTATCTTTGATGACATAAGGCTGATTAAATTTGTTGGGTGGTAATGGCCGTTCACGATTTCCACTGTCTTGCTTTCTTGACCATTCAACTTTGTACGGTTTTTAGTGCAGGTAAATTCATACACGGACACCCCCAACGCACCAAAAGAAGTTTATTATAAGAAACATCCTGTGGTTGTTCTAGGGTGACGCAGGTCATGGCGACACGCGGGGCGAACCGTTAAGTTTATAATCAACAACTTTCCAGACGGTAGCGAGAAAAGGAGAAAAGAACAAACATTCCACCAAGTCAAGGTCACACCAGTGGAGCAATCATGTTTCAGTCTCAGTCTTTGAGAAGAGGGAAGTGTATGGGGAGGAGGTTCTGGCAACCTAGGTGAAAATGGATTCACTTCCCAGAATGGAAAATATATTTAAATATTTAGATTCCATCTCCTTTTTGATTTTGTCACAACAAACTCCTATCCTTAATTCGCATCACTTTCACAAAAGTGAAAAGCTCCACTGCAGTTCACTGCAGTTGAATAAATAGCCAAACACAGTAGTAACAGGCGATAGCGGTAAATTATTACTCCTCCTACTACTACTACTGAACTACTACCCTCAGAAAACACATTAGAAGCTGCTTCCCGATTTATACAAACTGCCATTCACAAGCAAAGCACCAGCCACCTATAAAATACCATACTTCACACTTTAGTGGCCTAACTTCTTACAAATTTAATAAATTTAGGGCGGGGAGAGGCATCTTTCAAAACAAGAGCTTCTACTGGATCCAGTTTTAAAGCATTCCAAACCATGCAAACTATTACTGAATCGATATGGCCCACGGTGCAGCGTGACATGTGAAACGGGGGACGTCTATAAAAGCAGGGGGCGGGGTTTCTGTTATGTGAAACACGATCTATTGTGGCCGTTGCTGTGCGCAAGTAGGCCGACATGCTACATGTCTAATGCGAGAACCTAAAAGGCATTACAATACTTCTGAATTTTTTCCCAAAATGTATGTCTCAAATAGCAATTAACGGAGTTAATGAATGAATATATATTGCATGTTCAAACAATTATTCTAACCATTGTTAAGAAGATAGGCCTATATCACGACTCGAATTTCGGTAGATACGGACGAAAGATAACATGCATGAATTTACATTACAAAACGGACCTTTGTTCAGGTAATAACCAAGAGCAGGTCTTAAAAATAACCACAAACACAGTCATTCGTATATTTTTGCCCCTTTCATTAGAAATATATTAGAAAGATGGGCCTTTTACAAAAAACAATAAAAAAGAAAAGGAAAAAAAGAGATAGAAAAAAAGATCACCCCTGTTATCGTGTTTTGATTATCGAGATTGTTTAACATATCTGTCCAATCTCTTCCCCCCCCCCCACCCCCACCCTCAACTTACCCCCAATCCAACACCATGTTCCCCACCCTCAATCCTTACCCATCCACCATGCGGTCACGGTCACACTGAACTTTAAAAGCACGTTTTTATTGATTTTCACACAAGGAATTCCGCATTCCGAACACGGAACAAAACGGGTTGATGAATGAAAGCGGCGTCCATTTCTTACGGCTTTCATTCATGGTTACGGTATTGACCACATCGGCCTGGTCATTCACAAACGTTTGCCTTCGCGACATTTTCACAGTTCAAATCAATATCCCATTCATAAACTGCTGTACAACGTGTAACCGTTAGTCGTCCGTTGCAGTCGAGGGTGTCGTAATGTATTAATATTGTATCATTTTAATTCCTAGAGGAAGAGCCAGTAGGGAAGGAAATCCTCAACCTACGTGAAGGAAGTGCACAAACTTTCAAAAATCAATTGAAATAATTGAAACTGACGGTGACTGCCAAAAAAGGTGTGAGATGTCACGTTTTACGACCATCCCCTTTTCTGGATGTCTATGTTATAGAACATTCTGTGGACAAAGTTCACTCGGAAGTTAACATCATGAAAATGTTAACTGTAGAGTGCTCTTTTCTATCCCATGATTTGCTCAAAGCCTTTTTTCTTCACAAATTGTGCTTTACGAGCTTTGGGATTTCTGTCATTGCGGACCTGTTGCTTGCCCTCAGTATTTGGCCCACGCCATCTAGTGGCGAATGTAGCTACTTTGCCACATAAACGTCTGACGTTGATCATGCCGTTGTGGACATAAGTAATAGAAATGAAGGCCCTATATGAAAGTCCTTTTTTTTTCAAATTTTTTTTAAAGAGAAATATAGACTGAGGCACTTGGAACGTCAGCATCGTGCGCATAATGCGTATAGATTTTAGATTTCATATTTATTAATCGACATACACCTTACAAAAAATGGCACAATCATGGACAAAGACTACTAACTAAATCGTGACCCAAATAAATTATATGTTGTTAGAGGTTTCCCCTATCACCAGTGGTGAAAAATCATTATGCCTGTCATCAATCAACAGTGAACAAGAAAATCGAACCACCTGATTTCCATAAAAGTATATCGACATCAAAACCACCTACCTCAGCGCGTCTGCTGTGTGTGTGTGTGTGTGTGTGTGTGTGTGTGTGTGTGTGTGCTGGATTATTTGTAAATATATCTGTATTGTTATATATCTCTGGTAAGTTTATTAATATATATATTGTTTTATAATGAAAATTTTGATTTCTGATTCAAACAGTTTAAAATTCAATTTTTTTTCAATATCCACTAGCCCTATATTAACCTTCAGAGGGCCATGCTGAATTAAGTTTTATTTGACGTGTTTTGCCCTTTTTGAATAAAATGTCTTCTTTTTCACATTCTCCCTATTTCTCTTCGTCATCATAATCATCTTCTTCATTATCTTCTTTTTCTTATTATTCTTGAGAAATTGTAGTTCATGCCAACTTTGATCTTTGTGGAGTATTTGGACTCAGATGGTGAGAAGGACGTGTGAAAATAATCACAATGATAAAATGACTCAAGTCACTGGCATTAAAAAATATCGAGGGGGGGGGGTAAGGTGGCACTAACACACTGGACCATTTTACTGGCGTTATCTTTTATTTTCTATGAAGACAATTATCATTAATTTAAGTTCAAATTGCAATAACGCGCTATGGATATACGCTTTCTGATCAGATTTTTTTTCGTTCTGCTCAAAACAACTGAACTCCCCTCATATCTTTTGGCGGTTGATTTCAATAAAAAATACGATTTCATTTGGAGTGGTAATATCACTTAGAGAAGACAGGAACCTATATAGAAGAAAAGAGAGAGAGAGAGAGAGAGAGAGAGAGAGAGAGAGAGAGAGAGAGAGAGAGAGATCAATAAATGACCGAATTTTAATGAAAACTAATTACTGTTAGTAATTCTGACCCGGGTTCAGTTGACCATAGGCTTGACCGCGTGATTGGGTACCAAAAGACCAATTTAGAAACAATCAATTCCAAAACATAAACATCCTCTATTACCTTCATGGAGCCGAACAAAAGGCGAGCACGGATGTTCATACATACTCTTAATGGCCATTATGGCCTTCCCAGTTTTAAAAAGTAAAAAGTCGATAAACCCAAACAATCTGGGATTGAATTTTATCGGAATGACGTCAAATTTACGTCAAACATTAAATGTATCAATAACTTTGACTTTCCGTTGAAGTCCACGAACAATGAAATGCTAGTCACTGAAACCGTCGCGACAAGCACTTATTGTTCCGGCAATAACATATGACTGATGAAAACCTAGATGCGGTGTCTGACCGCTTGTGATAATTAATTGGGCGTACAAATGAACATGGGGTTTTCAAAACCGTGCAAATGTGTTGTTTTAACAAAGAAATCGTTTACTCAGAAGACAGCGTGCAATTTGTATATTAACGGACTTTCTGAAAAGCGGCACGTGTTGTGCCATGAGTAATACATCGAGGTTACGATAAAAAAAAGACACGTACATGTTATCATAATAAGAGATATGGGTGATTCAATAAGGGCGTATTGTGAACATCAATATCCCTTTTAAACTCAAAATGTTTCTACGGAGATTGTCAGCCGACTAATGGAAACTCTCGTGATATTTCTACGCGAAAAAAAGCAATAAAAAATTCCGTGGCGCCATTGAAGACTTTTAACTCTTTTGAATTCCAAACTCGGAAATACCCAATGTCCTTTTTCAAACCATCTTACTTGGATTGACAAAACAAAGTGGACAGTTCGTTGCGTCACTTGGAATTTTCACTTCTCGTTTTAAACAATTTTCTAGGGCCTGTCAGCAAAACCTCTACACAGACCCAAGCTCAAAAACATGCTATGATTATCATCTTAAGATCATATTATTCATCACTTTCACGATTTGACCTTTATTTTTCTCTTTTTAAAAAATAATGTTTTTTTTAATATATTTTGAGCACCTCCATTATATCCTAGAACCATTTTCAGAGTCTACTCGGGCTAACTTCTTCATTTTCAAATGTCCATACATGCTTCTCGTCTTATATGAAGATTTAAAATGAAGAACATGGCTGGGGTAGAACCCATTTCCCACCCCACCCCACCCTCCCTCCAACGCAAACAGTGCCAACAAATGAGAAATAAGATTTTTATTAACTTTCGGTGAACTAAACCTTATGTCAAAAGCAGTTAAAATATAATTGTTGATATTTTTCTATAATTTGACTTCTTTAAAAATCTCTCTCTCATACACACACGCACACACACACACACACAGAGAGAAACGCAAACACTCGTTTACCAAGCCAATTTCGACTTTTGAAAAGGGTGTTCATGATTACTAAAAAAATCATTGGTAATTAGAAAGTAATATTATTTCCCAGGTAACAAAACATACCGACACACAGCCGTGACGCCTCACCCATTTACAAGTCACAAAACAACGGATATTGATCCTGCAAAGTCCACACTGTCTTTTGCTCTCTCTCATGACAACAGAAACGGCAGAGTCTGGTGCAGCGACAGCAGCAATCGAGCCATGTGCTAGATGGGATGTCTCCGCTGTAGCAGCTTTGTGTCGTTCTCTTTCAAGAATTTTTTTTATTCTTTGGTGTTCGATATGCCCTAGATAATTTTATCCTTTACAAATGGCAATGACCGATAATGCTGTGTATTAAAAGGTAGAGAATACCCCAGTCTCGTTTTGTTGTAGTGCCACTCCTCCATACAATCTAATGTGTACGGCTGAAATTCCTGGTGAAACTTGTTTGCGAATAATTCATTTCTTACAAACAGTCTTGGTAAATGTTCCAACCCAAAGATGCATATGGCGCGTACAAATTTTCCGCCGCAAAATGGTATGCTCTCGTCAACCCAAATTTTATAACGCGTCATGAAAGGCTTAGTCTCCAGTGCTTCTGCCGATCCTGAAACGGAGAAAAGAATTATGAAAAACATGTTCCTAACAAATACATTAATTGTAGGATTTTGACAATGAAAAACAAATTTATACATTGCAACCAAACCAAATCTAAATATAAAATTGTCATACGTATTTTATTTGGTGATCATCTCTCTCTCTCTCTCTCTCTCTCTCTCTCTCTCCTTCTTTTTCTTCTCGCGATCTGCAACGCACCTGTGAATGATCCGGGCACCATCAAATGAGGGTTATGATTGAGGGAGGTGAAAAATGTCTCACAAGCTCTATGGGTCTTTCGAGTCCATTTCAGAAACTCCTTTGCGATAGGATCAGTGAGGGTGAAGTTCACAAACCCCCACGTTGCCGTAATATGAACTGCCCCTTTCGTAGGAACAATCCCAAAGGGAGCGGGGGGTAGCGTTTGACCTGTCAGGTGGAGGTGGCCGTCCCATTCTTTTGTAAAACGATCCATATTTCGTCTGAAAAAAGTTCTAGTAAATTTAAAAAACATTTTACTGGGTCAAATGCTTTAAAAAAAGGCAGGATCGGAGAGTCGGCGAGGTTGTTTTACCCCTGTTCTCATAAATAATATATGCTAAAATGTGGTAAAATCTAATGAAACCAAATATAAGTGTGCAGTAGTGGTGGATTTAGAGGGGGGNATTCCCATCTTGAAATTAGAATTTTGACTAGGTAAATCATACCATCGTACCAAAGGGCACTGTTTGCTCTCCAGAAAACCAAGGGGGCGATGGTCGGCTTCGCATCCGAGGTCTGTCGTTCAGGGGCCGTATTCTCAACCCCCCCCCCTCCCCTTCAAATAATCCTGGATCCACCCCTGATGTGCAGTACATTGAGAGCAACATGCCCCCCCCCCAACCCTGACCCTTTTTTTCCCGGAAAGGGCAAGTTTCAGAAAAGGAAGTCAAGGTCTTGGATACAGCGCACCTTTTTTTTTTCATTAAATAGGCTGCTGTTTGATCTTGTTGGGAACAAAATGGGAAATTCCGTCTTGGACTCTAATGGCCAAAAGGAAATGGAAATAAAATACTGACTTGAAATAACAAAAACATTGAAAATATAAAAATTTCAGCGTATTTTCATGAGCGAGAAGGGTGCGAAAAAATCGTGGAGGAGAGAGTTATATAAAATGTATCCCCCTTTTGGCCCTCTCTAAGTTTGTTAGCCCAGATGTTTTTATGTAATATTACCTTTTCAGAGTCCCTTCCATATCATTGGCACCGCCATATGCTTTCAAAATCTTCACTAGCTCCATGTTCGTTTTCAGCGGAAATTCTTGACCAGTAAGATTGATGAAATACTTCCATTTCTTGTAGTATCGCTTAAATAATTCCTCCATACAGACCAACTCTGCATCCAGCACGGTCACCTCTGCCCACACAACATTAACATGTGTATTTGCTACAAACACATTGTCGAAACAGCTTGACAATGACGTCATTGCATTTAAAAACGCCGGGGAACTTTTGTTATCAACGTGGAAGCAGTAGAAATTTTGCGGTCGATAGATGGCGCGTAATAACCTCTCTACTTGCTCCGCATTTTTATAAACCATAATACTAAAAGCCAGGGGAAACTCTTCTTCTTCTTTTGTCAGCGACGATAAAATATATTGCCTTTCCTTAACAAATTTTGTGCAGTTCTTCGACTTAAGAAACATACGTTCATCTGAAAGAAAATGTCGCTGTGTCTGTGTCATTATTTCCTCTGCGTAATGCAATTCATCAAGATCCCCTTCAAAAAGTAACTTGCAGTCAACGTCGCTGATTTTTACACGTGGCACGACAGAGTCAACAATCTCGTTAAAAGACTGGCCAACAACGGCAACATCGCCTAGATCGGCAGGGTGCCGGTTCTCAACATCAAATGAACCGTGCGTCAAATTTTCTTGCGCTGTTCCACAAAGGTTACTTGGACTTGAACGGAAAACGCACACAACCGCAAGATTTAAAGCTATAAAGATTAAGCAAGTGAAAACGAGAAGGAGACGGCGAACCAAAGTCGGTTTGTGCATTGTTAATCTCTCAGTATTTCTCTTGTTTTTGCTTAGACTATCAACTGAAATTTAAAAAAATAAAGAAAAATAAATTAATTCTTTAAATTGGTATATTTTTGCAAATAAATCTTTTGCTCGACACGAAGATTTTAATCAGCTGTCTGCGACATAGGTGAAAGCAGAATAGCCACAGTTTCTTTTTTGTCTTCACCCTACCCCGTCTTTTCAGTCAGAAAGAGAAGAAAATAAAATGTCTTTCTAAATCAAATAGTATGAGCATCTATTTATTCCAGTTTTATAAATTTACGATTTTATAGAAAAATATTTTAAACAAATATTTACCTGTAGTATGCCTCTAATTTAATTGGTGTTAGGATTGACATCCTTATTTTTCGTCGTTATATAACGTCCCAATCTCTTCGCGTAGACCGTGCTTGAACTAAATTTTCAGCTAGTAAAATGTCAAACACACAGCATTAACGTCATATCTGGTATATATGCCATCACAACCCTAAGAAAAATAATTTTCACGTTAATCTGTTGTCGTTGACCGGTGATGTGGTACTTCTCCTGCTGTATAAAGCAAGGCAATTTGCTTACCCAATTTATTCCCAAGAATCACGATGTGGTTGTGAAAAGGGCGGCTGTGTACATAAAGTGTACATTCAGCGGTCTGAATTAATTCGGATTTGATTAAATGTAATCAATACACCAAAGGGAATGACAAATCGGGGACACTGAAAGCTAAAAAGTACGAATAGGTAAAAGGTGTGTAAAGAAGCAGTGATTCTGATTTGTAAACCACCTTTCACTATTAAGATAAAAGTATACTCACATCGGTATACTGTACGCATTTGAAAATTTCCCAATGTCATATTTTCTACGTTTATGTATCCTGCAAAGCTACTAGGCCTATAATCTTTCCAAACGCAGACTCCAAAAATTCTAAACCCCTTCAAATAAATGCACCTGGTGTTGATACTTCCTTCCGAGATGTCTTAGAAGACATGGCCTTCTGCCTGTAAGTGATTGATTAGTTATTTAGAACTAGATCATAAAATGAGAAAAGGAATGAAACCTGGAATCCAAGTGGTGAGCCGGGTCGATCCTTTCTCCGCTACTCGAGAGTATAGTAGAGGAAAATTCCTTTTAGCGGTTAATTCTCGTGTAGGGCATCTTTAATATAACCGGAATATGACCGTACAACCTGTGGAAACGCGCTAAAAAGCCTTCATGGGAGAATAAAGTTGACAATTCACTTGTCTTTGGGTCTGATCCACATCAGTTGTTGACCAAGAGTCTACTGGGACCAGGGGTGGATCCAGGATTATTTGAAGGGGGGGTCACCCCCCCCCCCCCCCCGAAACCCCTAAATCCGCTACTGGGGACGGAAGTATTGAACAAAAAGATACAGCGACCGGCTGTGCATACAGTATTTTGGTCATATTTCATTAGGCTTTCGTGTCCCAATCCACCTGTCAAACAGACAACATTGTGGGATATATTTGGATCGGAGATTAGGGCAGATCGTATTTACACTTTTCATAAACCACTCATTGGCTTTGACTACAGGTATACAGCCGGCGAACGTATGGTCACCACAAGGCCGTGGCCTTAAAGGTATACTATACCTGTTTGAAAATGTCCCAGAGTCATATTTTCGATGCATATCTAGCCTACCTGTAGGCCTACATGTAGGGCCTAAATATCTTATCAATCCCAATCCAGATCTTCAGACCCATCATATAATAGTAGCCTACTGACGGCGACATATCCTTTCTGAATCATGATTGATAGAAAAACTAAATAATTATCTAATAAGGAGTGGTGTAAAACATCAAATCCAAGCCAGGGACTGTTCGAGCAATTTTTTTTTTTTCGTGATTTGGTGAAATTAGGCCTACTTTTGTATTAAAAAAATTGGATTTGGGACAAAAATTCTATACTTTAATATCACTCCTCGATCCACTACCTCGGGAGTTAATCTTTTTATAAAATTGCACTTGGGTCGGTTTCATTAAAAGTAAGTATTTTTACTGGTTGTGCACTAAATGACCTTTGTGTAGCTTACAGAGGGGACAGTTCAGTTGTGCACAAAGGACACAATCTGCAGCTATCTCAACTGACACACTCAGTCCGCCATTGCTGTTTTTGTGTGAAGAAGGTGAGCCGGTAGTTCTTATATTGAATTCCAAATCTATGCCATCGAATGACGACCGAGAAAAAATTGGAAACAGTCGATCATAATATTAAAGTTTGCATGCTGTGCTGAATTGTAATTGCATAATTTTTGTAATAGGCTATCAAATATGGCAGAAAACGGAACAGAAACTGAAGCGGTCCCTGACCTAGTTGGCGATCATGAGCAAGACTACAGTTACGATGGCGAAGAAGGGCAGCAGGAGGACGAAGGTCTAGGGGGAGAAGGTGAAGCCGATGTTACAACAGAGAGCACAGAAGATGCAGGGGTGGATGATCCTGTGAGTCTATCTCTCTCTCACACACACACACACACACGCACACACACAATATTATGTTGACAGAGATTGAAGTAGCACAATATTTAAATGTATGGGTTCATTAATATTTTATTATTCTAGGAGCTTGAAGCAATCAAAGAACGAGTTAGAGAGATGGAAGCAGAAGCAGAAAAGCTCAAGCAAATGCAAAATGAAGTGGAAAAAACAATGAATATGTCTCCAGGAATAAGTATGTCACTCTGACCCATATCCAGTGTGGTGGCTTTTCTTAGACGTTCCCTTTTCTTCAAAGAAGTTGTTTATTTATTGCATGGAAATAAAGTAGCCCATGCATTGTCCTTGGTTGTTAAACTCCTGTCTTTATAAGGTTTTATTCTACATATATATATATATGCCGGGGGGGGGGGGGGGGGAGTTAAACCCTTGCTGTAAAATAAAATCATTTCAGTATAGATGTAAATAATTGAAAAGGTGGGTTGGTTTTTATGAAAGTGTGTCAAAAAGTTCAAAAGGAAAAGTCTGTTGTAATGTCTACTGAATTGAGTCTTCATAGTTGAGCCTATAAAATTATGTCACTGTGACATATTTCCACAAAACTACAAAATTTGCATATGGTACGTCTAGAACAACTTTGATAGATCTTCATAAGGAATTGATGCTAACAAATATAGATAATTAAAATAGTTATGCTGTCTTAATTTTGTTAATTTGTTTTTTACAAATTATAAAAATAATTCAAGAAATGCAGTAGAAATCTCAATCAAATTGCTTATTTCTGTAATGTTGTTCTTCAGCTAGTCCTGTCCATCCGTCAATGGAAGAAAAAATTGATGCAGATTCAAGGTCTTGTTACATTGGAAATGTAAGTGTTATGATGTCTTTGATCATTGACTAAATGTTTTATTATATAATAAGGGTTTTACTGTTTATTAATAAATTGGATAATGGATTCTTATACTCACATCTAGTGACATTTGAGTTAATATTGTATTTCATTTTTTTTAAAGCTTAGTAGCATTTCTTTGGGGGGGGGGAGGGCTTGTTTTGAATATTGTTTATGTATATGAGATTTTTTACATTTTGATTCCCTTCTGTTCAATTTCATTCATTACTGATGCAGATTGAAAGTGAGAATTTTTCTCTAATAATCAAAAAAAAAAAAAAAAGGAAAAAGGTGATTTGTTTTAGGTTGACTATAGTACAACAGCAGAAGAGTTGGAGCAACATTTCCATGGCTGCGGTTCTGTTAACAGGGTTACAATACTTTGTGATAAGTTCTCTGGACATCCAAAAGGGTTAGTAGACATTTTAACAGATTTTTTATTTATCTAAAATGCAATGATTAGTGAGATAATTCCAAGCAACATTAATTCTGGATTCTGTATATATCTGTATAGTCTGACCAAGAATTTTTGTTCAAAATTGAAAATAAGTCATTTACCTTTTCAAATACTTTAATGTACAGAGGTGAAGGGGTGGGAGAGGGGGGGCTAGGAGATGTGATTACCTTTAAGTATTATTTTGTTGAATATTTTTTAATGTAAAAGGATGACCACATTTTAAAACTTTTTCCCCCTCATTATGACTCGTATGAAAAATGTTTATAATGTGTTGACTATTGAGAAGGAAGAATTAATTTCTTACTGATATCTGCCTTTCAGCTTTGCCTACATAGAATTTGCTGATAAAGACTCCGTACAGACAGCAATGGCTTTAGATGAATCTCTCTTTCGGGGAAGACAAATAAAGGTCAGGATATTTTTCAGTATAGTTCAGAAATATGACAAAAAAAAAAGACATGCAGCTCTTAATTTGATCCCATTCCTCATATTAAGAAGCTAGATATAGTTACTGCTATTCTTTGTGCCAAGTTGTTTTTTTTAAGTTAATTGTTCATTTAGGTAATGCCCAAGCGCACAAATAAACCTGGTATAAGTACAACCAATCGTGGTGGAGGTAGAGGGCGCTTCAGGAGAGGTGGCTTTCGGGGTGGCTATGGGGGCTACATGCCAAGACGAGGCAGGTTTAGGTGAGTGAAATGGCTTTTTGGGAGGGGGGGGGGGGGGGTCATGTTAAATCCTCATTCTTCATTTGCCAATGATTTGAATACATATTATCTAGTAAGTATTTGATTGTCATCAGTGTGAGCATTAAGGTAAATAAAAAAAATTAGAACTTTGTCTTTGAGGAGAGCTTATTTATTTATGAATAAAGGATAACTAGTATTATTATTTTATTTTTGATAAACATTTTTTGAGTATAATTAGCATTTTTTTTCCCCGTTATTTTAGGCCAAGGAGAGCTGCGTGGTATTCACCTTACTAGTCCAGTTTAAAATATGGCATCAAGTGGTCCACAAAACCTGCTGAAAAAGAAAGAGAGCTGGGGCGGGGGTGGGTGGAAGGGAAAAAAAAGGAATTTTAGATCATAAGCACCAAGTTGAATTTTGCAGAGAAAAAAAGAAATGGAGGAAAAAAACGAAATATACTAGTGAAATGGGAAAAAAGAGATTATGTGGGGAATTAGATGGAGGAATTAGAATTTAGAAATATGGAAAGATGACAAAAAGATTACAGATCAAACAGAAATAGCTGAAACCTTACTTGGAAGTTACTATTTGTCTGTTTTAGTAGGTGGGTTTGATATACAAAATAACTTGTATCATATTTTTTATTTTTTTAGCTTTAATGAATTACTTGCAAGGCTTTAAAACAAAAATACATTTTCTTAGGCGACTGGTTTAGTATTTATTAAATCTCGGTATTATTTTGTAAAATAAATAAATAACCTTTCATCCCAGTACAGAGGCAAACAGAACTTACTTTTATGCCCCAGTGCTAAAAACTTTTTTATGATAATGGATGTGAAAATATATCTGTTAACAAAGTAATTTTTTATACCTTACTGATGCTGCAATATAAAAAAAAAGCCTTCTTGCTATGAAGCTATTAGTTAAGCAAAAATCCTCCTTGGAATGAGAGAAAGGATGGGTTGTGGCCCTTAAATTATAGCCATGGTTTGTCGTCATATTTTTATGTTATTGTAGATTAAGTGTAAAAATTGGGCTGGAATGTGAGTTAAAATGACTGAGCTGTGAGAGTTGCATTTTATGTGCATTTTCTGCTTCTTTTTATAATTTTTTTTTAATTTGGGTCTTAAATTAAAAGTTGTGAATGAGTGTGACATTTTGAACCATGTGACATGTTCACAAGCTTCTATTTAAATGTTATTTAACTGATTAATTCAGGATGCCCCAGATAGCTATTATATTTCAGTCCTCGTATTATTCATTAAGATGTTAAATTTCAAGTATCAAAGTATAAGACTAAATACTGAATAAGTACGATTACTTATGCTGGTGGAGTTTAATGTTGCTGTAGAAAATTTTAACTGCATTTGGCTGGTGGTGTGAGCTGCTTTGATTCCTTTTATTTTTCTCTACTGTTTTACTTTTAACACTAATAATGGCAATTACTTATTGAATTCAAGCAAATTTGGTGAATTGTATGCTCAATACTGGGAAAGTTGGAGTACAATCCAGACAATTATATTTTTAGTGCACGTTTGTTTTAAAACCATGTTTCTTCATAAGGTCAATAGTGTCAGAAAGGATTATTTGGAAGGTGCGAGTCAATAGTATTACACCAGTAGTCATTTTATGAAGGCATGGAATATGGGCATGGTTGGGGGAGGGAGGGGGTAATTTGGGTCAAATGATGTGTTCTATGATAGCTTTATAACATTTTTGTTTGTTCCGCTTCCAGTTGTAATAAGTTGTGTTTTTTTTTTTTTTTTTTTTTTTTTTTTTTTTTTTTTTTTTTTTTTTTTTTGTGAGAGGGAGAGAGGTAGACTGCACTTTTTAAACATGCTTTGTTGGGCATGTTGCAAAAATGATCGGTGCCTATAAAAGAAAATGTGGACTTGCCCGGGTTTTCTCACATTGCTTTTTCTTTTTTCTTTATGTTTTTTTAACTTCCGCATATTAACATATTCAGACATGTTCAATAGGGTTTTAGTTAACTTTGCAATTTATAACTGCACTTATTACCCTGGCAAACCCCTGATCTTTTTAAAAAGCCCCAGACTTGGTGTAATTTTGTTTTCAGTGTAGTGTGTGTGTGTGGAAATTAGAATGGTAGTTAAGTTTTTTTTCTTTTTGTACCATAACCTAAGTTCTGTTTCAGATCTCTTCTCAGCCTGTTGGAAGTTGGCCACCAAGAGACAGAATGGGTAATATAAGTTCTGTAAGGGGAAATTTGAACCATAAGAATAATGTCTAGAGAAAAAAAAAACTGATGAAAAGAAAGAAAATGAACTAAAAAAAAAGAGGTAGTGATAGGAAAGAAAAAAAAAAACAAAATATATACTTTGTAAAAGAATGAAACAAAAGAAAAAATGGAGATGCAAAAAAATGTAAAAAAAATACTGAAATGAAAAAATGTTCTGTACAAAAAATGTAAATAAAGGTTTAATGTAAATATAAAATTGTTTGTTGTTCAATTTTTCCAAGCAGTTCACTTGAAGTATTCTATATGGGATTTTTCTTCCACTTGAAAACCATTGCTTGACCTGTGCTTGCACTCATATTCTAGTTTTATACCCCATCTTATTGTATAACTTTTATTGAATCCTATTTTTTCGTTCTTGCATTTTAGAAGGCCTGGGCATTTAGTAGAGTGGTACATATTAGTAAGAGGCTTATTAAGGTTTGAATTGGAGGAAGGCATAACTTTGCAAAATTCGTACACTTCAAAAATTTGGCTGGGATGTTTTCAACCCTGTTAGTTATACCGTATTATTAAAGTAAAATGTTTTAATTGGCTCTTCAGTACAATAAGGGGTCTTGGATCTCGTTCTACTGTGTGATGTTCATCACTATTGTTGAGCAGTCCAAACTGGACTGCAAGTGCATCTTTGGTAATGGTGAAAACATACCAACACCCATGTTATTAAAGCAATGAAGAGATACGTGTGTAATTGGTAGTCCATTCCAACTACCTGTATCAGAGAAAAATCTATTATGTTAAAATTTTCCAGCAATGAACTTTTTGCAGTTTTTAACTGTCCAAATTTAGAGCAGCTGTAAATTTTCCCTCAGCTTTCCAGACCTTGCATTCTACATTAAAACAAAAATGAAAAAAAGTTATTACTCAAATCATATTTATTTTCTTATATTAAAAATTCCCTATGAGTGAACACTGTAATACAACGCAGCACCATAAATTGACAGCAAGGGTCTGGTTTTGTAACAATCCATGCTGCCACAGTCACAAATGACACAATCTTGAGTGTGAAGTGTGGTAGTTGGGACCTCACCTAACACAATGAATTTGTTACATAGACTAGTGCAAAGCTACTCATTTTTAGACATTTTTAAAATGAGATTTTCCCCTAAAATAGCAGAAAATAAGCCTTTCTTAGAATGTAAAAGTTAACTGCAATGTTACACTAGAATGACAGAAATATGGACTTTGTAAGCTTGTATCATGATTTTCTCATTAATTTTGGATAGGCTACAAATTGCTGGTAAAGGAAAGATGCACTTTTTTTTTTTTTTGCTTTACCAGGATATAAAACTCCCTTTTCCTACATGTTGACAATCAAAAAGCTTACAACTTTTAAAAAAGTAACTTATTTTGAAGATTTTACCCAGATTTTGATCATTCTGCCATCAATTGATACCTAAGACACCAAAAATAAGGGTGCATTCCCAGAGATTTAGATCGATCCAGAGATTTAGATTTAGATCGACCTTACTCCCTGGGGGTTCACCCTAAATTGCAGTCAGCCGAGCGCGCACCATAGTTAATTACCCCCTTACAGCTTTTAGTAGGTGGGAGAGACACTTAAGTCGGCTAAGCTGACAGTAATCTAGTGAGACTCCCCACAGGGATAGATCGATCCAAAATCTATGGGAATGGGGTCTAAGTGGTACCATACAATCTAAACAGTAATGCACTCTTATATTTTGGATAAATTATTAGATTAAAACCAACAGTTGCAAAAAAAAAAAAAAAAAAAAAAGGCACAGAAGAAAAATATCAATGGGGTCCTGGAAGGAAATTCAATTTTCTTCGAATTAGAAAAAAAAATGCAGTCAATATCAAACTAATTTTACAAGGAATCGCCAACTTCTACGCCAACTTCGAACTATGGTGCGAGCGCGCACCATAGTTAATTACCCCCTTACAGCTTTTAGTAGGTGGGAGAGACACTTAAGTCGGCTAAGCTGACAGTAATCTAGTGAGACTCCCCACAGGGATAGATCGATCCAAAATCTATGGGAATGGGGTCTAAGT